TATTTAATTTTAAAATACTTTTTTTTTTTTAGAAAAAGTTTATTTTATCAAAATCTCAATTGAATTTGTTAGTTGTTTGTAAATCATATATATATAGTCCCTGGCCTAATTATTAGACTTACCAGTGCAAACCAGTTTCATCCTAGTAAAACCAATAATAAAACTATGTATTTCAAATTGTCTTTGACTGTTGTTATTGGTGCTTATCATCGGTAAATTTGAAAAAGCACTGCTACAACAAGGTTTTTTTTTTTCTTCTTAAATTTCATGGTTTTGCCTCGAAATTTAATGCCATAGTAATTGCCTGTGTTTTACTGATATTATTAAAGGAAAAGCTTTTAATTTGTGTTCTCTCAAGTTAAAGGCTTTTTTATGTCAGACCAGTGTTAAAGCAACTGCTTGGGACGGGATAACATGGTTGGTAGGGCACTGGGCCCGTGTCCAAGAGGTCGTGGGTTCGATCTCCGTCAACCGAGAACTCCCCGTGCAGTAAATGGTAACAGATGCACGTTAAATCTGTCGAGTCACAAAATCCTCCATGTTCCCATAATAAATAATTTCTCTGGGGGTACTGATCCAGGAGTTCCCTTGTCTCCTGGATTAGATTCAAAATGACAAGGAATCGGAGTTGAACATTAGTAGTCGAAAACCCAAAATTGGGTCGGCTGTTCAACAACGGTTATAAAAAAAAATTATAAAAAAGCAACTGCTTGTAACACATCATGTTCCCCTTTGAAATGTTTCATTCATTTGCTTCCGAAAATTTCATGCATTATTTGCATGCCTGCATACATTATCTCTTAACAACAAAATACGTTCAATAAAATTAAATGAAAGCATTATTTTAACAAATTTAGATTTAGCAACATAACCTGTAACTGATACCAGTAAAATTATCTTCGTTAACTATTACCACAGACATGTTTTTTTTTTTTAAAAAATCCTTCTTTTCGCATAACATTTACTTATTTGTGCGAACTTTTGAATCTCTACTCTATTCATTTAAAAAAGAAAGCAAAATATGTATTAAGTTATGACTTGGTTTTGTTGAAACTAATAGAAGAGGAATATTATAGCTTTCATAAAGTATTTTTGGTGTTTTTAATATTACTCAATAAACATGTTTCCATTACTTTTCTCTCCAGGTTTAGACTTCTTTTCTTCTTCATCGGAGAAACTTTAGGTATTGTAAAAAATAAAGTCATGCAAGGATTGAATTTAATAAGTGTACATATATAACATGTAAACTACTTTTATAGTTAGTAAAGAGACATTTTGAGGTAGCTGATTGGATTTCTGGGCACCGCCTACTGTGACATACGGCTATTTCATTCTGATATCTTTGCTATTTATAGCATAAACCTATTTCTGAACTACAGCATTTCTTTTTCATACAAGTCCCGCTGTAGAAGACAGGGGCTCCCAGTGGAACACCGTAGTCAAGCATCACTCGCTGTGGTCTGTAAGTGGGGGGCGACCACTTTGATCAGCCTGCGTAAGGACCGAGGGTGCGCGGTTTCGGTCCTTGTTAAACTGTTCTATCGTAAAGTGCTCGACTTCGCGATAAGGTCGTCGGGCTACCAAGCAGGGGAGCCATCCCCTCTGCAGAATTGCGTTGGCCTGTCCTAGGATCATACTCAGGAATATTTCCCAGACAGTCGCCAATAGCCCATTGTGCAGCTCTAGTGCGACGTCAATAAAGTACCTACCTATCTTTTTCAAACTTGTAATGTCAGTCTTTTCGCCTGAAAAACTGCCTTATTTATTTAAAAAATGAAATAGAAACTGTTTCATCTATTAGTATTATTCTTAGAAGCAATGTTCTAAATTTAGAAGATTGCAACAATGGGTAAAGGAATTTGGGGAACTAACAAATGCTAAATGGAATTCCAGAACTTCGTAACCACCGGAACAAAGATTCTCACATAATTGAAATGGATCTAAATCGCATGGTTTTTAATTAGAAATTTTGTTCTGCTTTCACGCATAGTAAATTAAATTATGAAATTCAAAAGCATGATGATGTAGATGTACTCCAAAAATTGATAAATCTTTGTTATAATTCAATATTACTGTTCCTTAAAAAACTCATTGTTTAATACTTACATTCTGTTTGCTTTGTTTTAAAATTGTTATTAGCTGTTAATTCTATTTATATACTAATAAAAAAGTTTCATTTATTAATGCAAAGAATAAATCGGTATAATTTTTTTTTTATCGCTTTTATTAATTTCAAGCAGATGCTTTAGCACGTGGCGCCCTCTTTTGTTTTAGAATTCAATGAAAAAGTCTGCATAAGGAAAGTACTATGTAAATCTCACAACTTAAAATTTATTTCAAATGCTTCCTCCTGTCATTAAAATATTTATTCGTTTCAAAAATTATTTGCATGAAGCAATAGAAATTAAATTAAGCTTTATCGCTTAATTTATTCTTATAATTTCATTTCATATATTTATTATTTTTTTTTTTTAAAAAACGCTAAACTTCCATAATATTCAAACATCTGACTACGATTTTTTAACTGAATACGGAAATGCGTTGAGAAGTGGAAATGGAAAATCGTTAAAATAATAATAATAATACTTGCCTACTTTAATATGTACTTTTATTTTCTTATAACGGTTTATACTTATTGTAACTTTTAAACTTGCTCTATGCTACTCGCTATAAAATAAATTTTATTAATTATAAATATTGCATAATTTTTTTGTTGAATTTTTTCGCTGAACTGAACATTTTAGAATATTTTCCTCCAAAATATGATAAATATCTTTCAAAAAATCAAAAATAATTTTACAATAATATTTATACGCGTTTTAAAATCTCATATAATAAATTAAAATTGAACTTACATAGTTTTTATTTGTTTGGTTCTGATAAATTTAAATTCAAGATTTTAAATTCTAAGAGCATAAAGATATTCATAATTCTATCCAATTTGAATATTAATGTATGTATTATATATTAATAATATTAATATTATATAATATTATTAATATTAATATTTATTATATAAAAGCTAGTAAAAATACTTCTAAAATATATGCTCATATATATTGAATAATTGTTATTGTACTAATTGCATGTTTTATCAAAAATATTGTTGTTTACCTTGCATTTCACTGATATCCATAACATTAATATTAATCGTCGCACTATAAATCAAGTTTCAATCATCAATTCCGCATCGCAAAAAATTATAAAAATTCGCAAAGTGTCTTTTTTTTACGTTAGCAATATATATGAAACAGAACTTAATATGCTTAAATACAAAGTCTTTTTTTTTATGAATGTTTATAAGTATTTCTTCAGATATATGTAGGTATTTTTTAAACAAATTTAAGCTTACTTCTTAATGTAAATAAAGTTTTAAATCGCAAAATTGTATTAAAAATTGGAAATCCGCTAAATGGCCTTACTAATCTTATATTAAATTCCAGAAGTAAACAAGATTTTATTTTATTTTTTTTTTTTGGAAAAACAAAAATTTAGAAATATGTTGTGGGATAACAAGTTGAAGGTGGCCATATTTTTAATATTAAAAATAAAATAAAAAATTAAAAAATCATAAATTTTTTCAAGATTTTATTTATTTATTTTTTAATTATTATTTCAGAAAAAAAAATTATAAATATTTTTCTGGATATACTGGCATTTTCTAACAAATTGGCACTCATGTTTTAATAAAAAAGAAAAATTTCAAATGAATTAATTAATTTTTAAGATTTGCGAATATTTTTTAACAAATTAGTACTCTTCTTAATAAAAATTAAGCTTCAAATCACTTCCGCAGCACAAGAAATTATAAAAATTCGAAAAAAGGTTCTCCCTTTCGCTAGCAACATATATGATTTTTTTATCAGTTTTTTTTTATTTCATAAATATTTCTTTATATGATATGAGTACTTTCGAACTAATTTATGCTCACTTTTCTTTTCATAAAGAAGTTTTAAATCATTTCTGCATCTCGAAAAATTAAAATTATATTAGTGTGTCCTTACTTATGTTAGCAATATAAATGTCCAGCAGAACTTAGCACGTTTTGCATTAAATAAGCTTTTTTCTTTAATAAAAAATCAACTTTTCAAACAAAATAATGCTTATTTTTTCATACAGTCAAACCCCGTTATAGTGAGCATGGTTTATAGTGAACTCTCGGATATAGTGAACGAAAAGTTCGCTCCCGTGCTTTGCTATACACATATAATATTATTTTTTGTGGATATAGTGAACCAAAATAAGAGAGGAAATTGGATATTATGAACTTTTTACTGTCTTCGATTTTTTTTTTCCCCTTCATTTTTTGGTCTTTTTAAAATTTCTACATGAGATACATATACCGATTTTTAAAACCATCTATTGAGTGGAATCTAAAAATAAAGCATTTTTTCGTGTTAGCTTCTTCTATCTCAGCTTCCCATCACTACATTTTTTGTACACAAAAAGAAGAGTCATAAAAAATAAAAGTTAACGCATGTTTTGTTACTACATATTGTGTATTAATCATTTTTGAATTTTTTTTTTTTTTTTTTTTATGGGTCATTTATTTCAATACTCAATAGTTCAAATAAAACTTGTATTGGTATTTTTTTTCTTAAAGTGTTTAAAAAATTACTAAATAAATTCAAAGTTCATAAAAGATATTTTTAAAAAAATGTATTACGCTTGCACTGCATAATTATAAAAAGTTTCCAGAATTTTGAGCTTTCTTAAATTAGTTTAAAATCAGTTTTTATTTTGAATTTTTTGAATTGAGAATTAAATATAGAGTTTTTATTTAAATCGATATTAAAAATTTTCAACTTTAAAAATTTTGTTTATCAAAATAAAGCTGAAGTAGAGATTAAGTAAAATTCTATCTTTACCCACACGTAAAAATGATAAATGAAATAAAACTAATAAAAGCTTCATAAATTGCACGTCATCTCCGTCAAGAGTAACAGATATTTTAAAGTAACAGTTGTTTTGATAACTGGTATTAAATTGTTGCAACACGATTGGTAAAGTATTTGTACAGGAGACATTGCCACCAGCCAATCAACGAATGCATCCGAGGTGGATTTAGCCTCGTGTCTTTGGTTGACTGTTTTCGTTTGTGCTTATGCAATCACTATGCAAGAAGTTTTAAAATTAACTTGACAATTCAGGTAAGTTCCCTTATTTCATCCATTTTTTACATCATAACTTACATATTAATAGGTATTTGAGATCTATAACCTTTAATACAAAACGAGTTGTGATTTAAACGATTGTTTTGGTTGACAGCTGTCAAACGACAAATTTTCTTAAAATTGTATTTTTGGCTACCATACCTACATTCTAAAAATAGTTGTTCGATGTTCTGAAACTTGTTTACTCTTGATTTCAATAAATTCTTCCATTAAAAAAAGTGTTTTCAGTTTTATTCTGTGTTTGTAGTAAACTAGATTTCTATGTTAGATTGTTTAGTACTTCTCATAAATATTAGTTAAATATAAAAATGTCGCTATTATTGCTATTTACAAAGTATTAAACATTATTTGTATGCATGTTTAAATTAAAGATTCTACAAATTATATGCTGTTTTTTCTTTAAAAAAATAAGCCTTAGTGTTCTTTTCAGTTATTCACAAGTAGGTATGATTGTTTAATCAGTATAGAAACTTTTATTTTATTAAATATCGTTTATAGCACATTTACTTAATGCCTCATATACATCTTATTTAATTTTTGTCTTAATTATGTAATGATTGCAGCAATTATTTTCTTACAGTATGACTTCTAGTGCTGCCTGTCACTGCCCTATATATTTTAGAATTCTGCTTTATGATACGAAAGATCTAATTAAGAAATATCCGCTACAGTGTCATTCGATTATTTCTTGAATTTTAGGTAAGATCTATAATTATATTATGTACTATTAATCATAAAGTTTATGAATTGTCGCTCTACTTTTTGCCTCTGTGGCAGAATTTATTTGAGCTATCTGCGACTAAACTCTCTAGTACTAAAATCTTTCTGCAAGATATTTTTAATTCTAACAAACATAGATGCTACTAATTTAAAATAAAATATGCTGTGTTTACAAAAATAATAACTATAATTTTCTTAATTGAACATGTAATAGTTTTTTTATTCTAATATTGTGGGTGATATTCCCACATTTTGTTGGGGAGAACACACATATTATTTACTTCTTTGCATTTTGTAAATAATGATCACACTAAAAAAGTTTTTAAATATCATGAAATTCGTATTAGTTTTTGAAAAATAAAAAATCTATGACGAAATCACGTAAATTGGACTCCTCAAACGCATGTTTCGTTTTAGTTTTTGTGTAATAAATAATATTGTATAAGAAATATTGGATTTAAAAACTATGGAGAAATGAATAGCAATAACTTCCAAAAAATCTGTAGAATTATTGTCTTAAAAAATAAATACTCCAATGCAGGATACGAATTTTCTATATTATTTAAAATATACCGAGATGTTTAAAAACCATGCGAAAATCAATAACTGCCAAAAATACAACCGAGACATTACATCAATTTACAATACTATCGGTGTAAATTGAGTGTGTCAAAAAGTAATTATCTAAATGTATGATTAAAATTTTACGTGCAAATTTCTGTAAGAAAGAAAATTTTAATTTTTCCACCCTCTGAAATTGAACCAAAAAATCTGTATCTTTTTATCACTGTTAATATAGTCAAGTGAAGAATTCTTTGTCAGAAACTAGTAATTTATTATTAACTAGTTTATTGTTAATGTATATAGTGCTTGGATAAAATTAAAAATTTTGTCATTTAAAAAAAAAATTATTTTGAATTTTAGTCTAATGGGACCCGAAATGCTTTATCCTAGCTTAAAGGATTGTTCCATTTATGTTAATATTGTTAGTATCTATAATAATAATAATGTAATAAATTGTGAAATGTTTTATGGTTCCCTTTGTTAGACTTGTTTGAAGCCCAGACTATTTGAGGATATTATTTATACATTTTTATTCAGGGTTGGCATGATTTTGCCACAGGTGGAAAAAACCATGGTAAATACCGGTAAAAACCGTCCTGGCAAAAACAGGTTTTTGCCAAGCAAATGGCAAAAAGTGGCAAAAACCTATATTTTCCAAGATGAGAGGACAAAAATACCTTTTTGATACAAAATTATTCCTAAGATTGAAATATATACTATAAATATAAATAATTACAAAAAAATTAGCGAAATTATTATTCCATAATTAAATCATTATGTAACAATATATCATTTTAGTAGTTTAAAACATTATTGATTGGAAAATTTGCGATTATTCTCTTTTTTCCAGTGAAATGAACTTATTTTAAATTAATATAACTATAATTTAAAGCATAAAATATCTATCAAGATGTGTAGTTAATTATTGTACAAATAATAATTTTTTTATAATAAATAATAATAATAATAATAATATACAAATAATATTTATTTATTTGTAAAAAAACATTTATTTAAGGATTCTAAAATGAAAAGAGGTCAAAAACTTTCAATCTTTTAAAAATTATTGCCTTTATATTAATTATTAATATGTTATAAATAATTTTTTCATGTAATGTATCAAAATTATTATTCCTTATGATTGATTTAAATTTGTTTGAAGTATTTTGTAATAATATTTAATCAGCAATTTAGATAATTTGGTTTTTGCCGGTTTTTACCAGTTTTTGCCGGTTTTTACCAGGTTTTTGCCACTGTCCTGGCAAAAACACCTTTTTGCCGGCAAAAACTCCAACCCTGTTTTTATTATATTCTTGATTATAAGATTAAGCAATAAATACATTTATAATTGGATGAAACTGTGTACAGTTTCGACAATTATTACGAGGAGCTACATAGCCTTTCCCTCAAGCCATGTCAATCTATCTCTCCATATCTAAATACAGGTTATCTTTGCACCTGCAAAGTCATGGGAAAGTCACGAATTTCAGTATTGAACAAAATTTATTATGAAATGTCATGATTTTAACTAATTTTTAAAAATAATCATGGAAAGTAATGGATTTAGGTCGTCGAAAAATCTAATTTTTAAAATGGAATTTATCCCCCCCAATATCATGGTGTTCCGAACATCTTAATTTGTAACAAAATCCCCACTCACATTCATATTTTATTAAGATATAAAATGTTTTTATCATATTCTTTAAAAATTGGAGTGTTCTTTCAAAAAACGAAGGAAAAAGCATAATTTCTAGAACAAATTATCTTTTAAACTTCTGTGATTTCAGAATTTTTGTCGTTATTTATTATTTTTATTTTCTCAATGTAAAGTTTTAGCTTAAGCAAGCCAGTCATCGGTCAATTTTTTAAATTCCGAAATGAGAACAGAAAAATTGGGAGTATTTCCTTCCTTTCCTATGAACCTGAAAGGTATCTGTGAAATATAATTCTGCTGAAAAAAAGAAGAAAAAATATAATTTGCTTTTGTACTTTTTCGTTTATTTTATTGCTTCAACTCTAAAATTAAAATTGTAAATATGAAGGTGCAGAGTATAACAATTTTGGTTATGCCTATCATTTCAATTGATGTTATTATAATGCTTTAAATTTATGGTTGTGTTTTTGTCGGGAGAAAATAGTAACTTTGTTAAGGGAGGAAAAATTCTTGGAATTAGTCATTGGAAAGTCATGAATTTGAAAATCTGAATTATAGATACCCTGTAAATATGCCCCGATCCACAAAAGAGGACGAGGACCTGTGTCCCTTATCTGCTGACCTTCTGGTCAGGGGTCGTTAGCACTTGTATGTCAGTCCAGAGTCCTGATATACTTGTACCATATTTAATTTAAAGATTTAAAATATTTTTATCTAACTTTTTTAAATTTATAAGTCAAACAGTACAAATTTTATGTCAAAAACTGGTATAATGTCAGTAAAAATATTTTTAGAATAATAAAAAAATAGGCATGATATTTGCTAGTTGCAAACCACTAAATTCTTCTTTTGGTTGCCCTTGCTAATCCTATTATATTTTTCTTTATAATTATTTATATTTATTTATTGTGTTGTTATTTTTATTAAAAGATTTGTCTTCCTGTAATTAAAAACCACAGCTATTTTGTATTGATAAATTATTGCATTAAATTAAGCACTTATTTTTTCATTGCAATTTCAAAAGACCATGGGTTGACAAGTTTATAATGTTTCAGTGATTGATGTTCAGTTTAACCATATATGTAACTGCCAGGACAAAAACCATGACAATTATATTTATGCATATTGGGGGTAGTGAAGTTCATGTATCAAATACTTCTTTTCCTAAAAAAAATTCACGTCTGCTTGAAAAAAAATTTCATTAAGGAAATTTACTTTAAATATATCCATACAAAAGATGTGCTAGAAGTTCCCTAATTCAAAAATAGTTTTAAAGAAGAATAGAAAAATAAACTTTAACCATTCTAATAATTTATGCCCTTATTCAGTGGGGGGGGGGGAGTTTAAATGAAAATCGAACAAAATTTTCCTTTATATTAAGGCGATATAAACATTCCATTAAACAAATTAGAATATAAAATATTTTTATGAATATAAAATATTTTTTTATAAAAATTACTTTTTTTTCTACTGCGCAAAAACTAAATATCTACTTAAATTAAATATTTATACATTAGATAAATTAATATATTTGTATAGTACTGTACTTTATTGTTTTAATTTTACTATTAGAAATTATCCTAGATTTTAACCAGTTTTTGGAGATAAAAAAAACCCCAATCCTCTTAAATACCTAATCTCAGTACTAAATTCTGTGTTTCCTTGTCCATAATAGACTAAAATACAATTTAAAATACATTGATACTTCGCATAATTTATTATGTGCGTGATTAACCTTGGAATGATCTTGTTAATGAATTTTATCTTTAAAAAGTTTGACCTTTTTTTTATGAATTGTTTGGTAAAAATAAAAATGTGTTGATTACGTCTTTACTAAAGGCATGTGTTGATTATGTCTAGACTAAGCAACCGTAATTCTTAATAAATTATAACACAAATTTAAGATAAATAAATATTTTACCTAATAACCTAACCTATTATTTTGATATTTATTCTTTGAATGATTGGCAAAGGACATCATCTTACGATGTTGATAAATTTATTTTTATGTAATTTGACTGGATGCATTCTTTTTTGTAATGCGTAATCTTAAAAATATGTTTTAAAGCATAAGATTATGGATTCTTATAGTGTCAACTGACAATCCACAATTTGAATTTTATGGTTAAAAATAGACTCTTTGGATGATGAAACAAATCTGATTGAAATACAGTCGGACCTCTATTTAACGAAGTCGCTAAATCCCGAAAAAAAATTCGTTATATGGAAAATTCGTTAAATAGAAAATCATCTTTTGAAATACTTACACAACGTAGAATAGGTTTTAAATTCATGGATACTAGAAATAATTAAAATTGCAATTGATGCACCTTTATCTTGTAATTTTTTTCTTTAATAGTCAGGCACTTTCGCTTCGACATTTTGCAGCCGTAAGAAAAGCAACAAGCAGCACTCTGATCAGCAATCTTAAAACAGGAGCTCTACCGAGTGAACAACGAGAAAGTTGAAAGTTTTTCTAGAAAGGAAGTGAACAGTGGGGGTGGAGATAATAGGACATGTCAATAAGGGACCAGGGACCACACACTTTGATGACCCATTCCTTTTATCTTCTCTGCTCATTTCCTATTCAAGGAATTTGACCCTTTCCCCCCTTTTCTAGAGGCGTTGCATTTCCTGTATGAAATGCAAACAAAAAGGGAAAGGAATTTTACTGCTTTCTCTAAAAGTTAAGGGGATGCGAAAATCAGTTCAAGGTCATTTCCCCCATAAAATACGTTAACGAGTTAATAATTTTCTCAAATATTTTGGGAAATGGGGAATGTAGATCTAAAAAAAATTCGTTAAATAGAAAATTCACTTCGCTATTTAGAAGTTATTTAACGAAGAAATTTCCAAAATGTTCTTGGTTCCACGAAAAAATTCGCAAAATAGAGAAATTCGTAAAATGGAAGTTCGTTATATAGAAGTCCGACTGTATATGGTAAAATGTTTCTTTAATAGTTTTAGATTATGGATTCTTTTGTTGGCTTATTTGATCCAGAGTGTCAAGATGAAACTCTTGTAACATCAATTCCTGAGTATTTGCCACCAGAAGCTGCTGATGGTAATGTAGAATACAAATTGAAGCTTCTAAATCCTTCTAAAAGTCGATTTGAACATTTGGTTACACAGATGAAATGGCGGCTGAGGGAAGGTAAATAATTCTTTCATATTTTACCCTCTGCGTTCGGCTCTCTCAATTTGAGCGGGGTGTCAGTTTCGTCCCAGACAAAGGTTCACGTGAATATCTCAGGCAAAGAATTCCCCCCACCCCGTGCTTCAATACTGATCCCGCTATTTTCCCATGTAGGTTTAAAAAAACATCGTTTGGTGCTTATTTTCGTTGCTAGATGCACTGGAGCAGTGTTCCCTGCCCTTTTTATCACCGCGGACCAGTCAATGATTGATAATTTTACCGCATTTTTATTATAGATTATTTTGATTTATTAATTTTTATTTATTTATTAATTTAATTAATTAATTTAAATTAATAGTTTAAATTAATGCCTTCAAAGTAAAATACAGTTACATCAAAAAATAAATATTAAGTGATTTAACATTTTAACTTACTAGAATGTTAAATCAATGAGAACCCTGAGCTTGTTTCTTTGCAATGAGACGGTTCCATCTGGGGGTAATCGGAGACAATGATACATTACAAACATTAAAAAAAATTATGTCACTACCTCCGGGGGCCCCTATTTTTTAAATAAATAAAATTTTAATGGAACACAGATATTTTTACTTAGGAGTATAAGCCTAGGAATTTAAATTCAGTTTTAATGAAATGTGCTGCCCTGTGCCATTTGATCCGCGGACCGGTTGTATGGTTGGGGAACACTGCACTAGAGGGTTCAGGATTTTTTTCCCCTATGTATTTGTTTTTCTTTCGAGCAATAAGCATTTATAAAAGATAAGAATTTGCAGAGTGTCAGCAACGTTATATGTGAGAATAACAAACTAAAATATCTTGATTTTGAAGATAGTTATTAGGATTATTCCATAAATCTGGGCTTTTATTTTATTTTTTCTAATTTATAAAATTTTTGTCAAGTTTTTCGAGACAAAATATTTAAAAATTATATTCATCTGAAAACAGAAATATCGCATGAATTTTTCCACTTATAAACTCCACCTGTTGAAATAGCTGGTGCTGCATTATATATTCTTTGAAAACGTAAAAGCTAATAAAATTCTTGTATTATTTGAAAACAACTGATGAAGATATACATTGTAACGTATGTAGATAAAGAAAATATAAAAAATTCTCCCTGTATTTCAGGACTGGAAAGTATAAAAACTGAACCGTACGCAGAAGGTTAATAAATGTTTTATAGATGTATTTTTGTGAGGATTGGCTTAAATTTAAAGGGGTTATCTTGTAACCTCTATAGTAGCTTTTCCAAACTTTCGGCTTTGCAGCATCACGATTTTCCTCTTTAGAAAGTAGTGTGCGGTGAAATTTCTGTAAAATTTTGCGCAAAGATTTAAATTGTGGAGCATTAAGAAGCAATTTTGTGATAGTTGTATTATTTTTTGGATGTATGCCAAGATTGTGTTATATTTTATAAAATGATTAATAATGCGATGTAATAATGTCGATAATTAATAATACCATTTTGAGGAAGCATCGCATATGTCAATAAGAGTTGAGCAATTTTTTTACGACTCTATAAAACAGATAAGTGTTTTTGAGTTGTAGTCATGGTGTCAAAATAGAGTAAGGTTTCTGTTATTTACAGGGTTGCCAGTTCACAGGAAAACCTGGAAAATACAGGGAATTTAAAAATCACCTAAAATAATAAGGAGAATGCAGGGAATTTTGATTTTTTTTCTTTACAAATTGGAAAAATGCAGGGAATTTTGTTTCTTATTTTTGTCTTTTAAAAAATGGTGACCACTCAAAGCATAATCTATGGGATATTTAACCATTATATTTCAGCTATACTAAACTATTTCATTTACTACATCATTATTTAAGTATGTTCGGCTGTTTTTCCAGCAATTATAACTAATAAATATAGTTACCACAATATAGCTCACACAAGAGCACAGTAATTGTTGTTTCCTCTTAATATATTCATTGTGTATAATATGTACAGGGAATTTTTTTTTCCAGATTTGAGTGGCAACCCTGATTTAGTTGTAAATAAAATAAATATATATTTTTTATATACATAACTGCAGGAAAGATATTCACTTAAAAGTGTAACCAAAGTAATTTCTCCAGTTTTTGTAGTTCTATTTGAATTTATAAATGATTAAATATATATTTTAAGTTTTTCAAATTAAATGTGAACATTCATTTTTAAGTTAGGGCAGTTCTTCAATTGCAAATTAAGTTTTCTAATTTTTTTTACAAACTTTTTCCAAAAATATATTGCATTTCTACTAATAAGTAATTAAGAAGAGCTGTTTCATTATTTTTTAAAATTATCTCTTTTACTAAATTCTTAAAATTTGTAAATTATTTTTGTTCTGAACTATATATCCTCTGTCCTCAGGTCAAGGTGAGGCTATTTACACCATCGGTGTTTCTGACAGTGGCAAATTAATAGGTTTAGATGACCGAGAAATGAAAGAATCTCTTCACACATTGTATCGAATGGCTGAAAAGCTTGGGGCTGACATTACAAGTCTAGGGGAACGTTGCATAGCTGATAATTTAAATGCAGAAACAAGAAGAGTAGCTGAGGTATAATGATGTTCTTTATTGTTTTTTAAATTTAATACAATCAGACCTCTGTTTAACCTAGTCGCTAAATCCTGATAAAAAAGTTTGTTGTATGGAAAATTTGTTAAATAAAAAATCACCATTTTAAATACTTGAACAACCCAAAAGAGGTTTTAAATTCAGGAACACTAGTCATAATTAAATTGGCAATTAATACACCTTTATCTTTTAAATTATTATCTACTATCGAAATTGTTTCAAATGATTTTATCATATGAAGGTTTGTTGATTTCTTCATCTTCTTTGTCTTCACAATTTATTGCTGTATTGTTTTTATTTAAATACTGTCCAAAATATCTGATTCAGTTAGTAATGTTTCTGTGGTTGCAGCTTCAATAAATCATTAATTAGTATAGCATCACTAATTTGTGGTTCTCTCTTAGCTGTACCCATATTTTTTTAAGTTCTTCTAAAGAAATGTCATCTTCTTCCTCCACATTTTCCTAATTCTCCGCTCTGACTAAGGTTCCAGCTTTAGCAAAACTTATGGATAGTACGATCTGTAACATCATAGTTCCATGCTCTAGAAATTTCTGTTTAAATTTATTTTCCATGGATTCCTGTATGAAATGCAAACAAAAAGGGAAAGGGATTTTACTGCTTTTTATAAAAGGTTTTAAATTATTGCGAAAATTAATTGAATGTCATTTCCCCCATAAAAGACGTTGATAAATTTGAAATGTTCCGAAATATTTTTGGAAATAAGGAAAGTATATCTCAAAGAAAAGCTCCTTAAATAGAAAATTCACTTTGCTATTTGGAAGTTATTTTAAAAAGAGAGTATTTTAGGTTCCTCGAAAAAATTGTGAAATAAAGAAATTTGCTAAATGAAAGTTTGTTAATTAGAAGTCCGACTGAAGTTCTGTTATATTTTTTGTTATAAATGACCCATTAAAAAAATCTTTCTTATTTTGATCTTTTTGTATTAGATTTGTTGAAGAAATTAATTAAATAAACCTTTACAATACAAGTTCTATTATATACGGTACAATTCTTTAAAAATTTTGATCAGGAAAATGTAATTTATATTATGAAATACTATATATTACAAAATCCATATAACTTTCATGCTTTTAATTCCCTCAACCTATTTTTTTGATTTTATTGAATTTAGCATAAGAAAATACAAAACTAACAATGCCTCACTTGTCTAGATAGTAATGTCAGGCATGTAAATCATTAAACTGAAATCATAAACTGTGTAAAAATTATACTTCTTATCCATGTTTACAGTTTCGTACTTAGATATTTAAAATAGCGTTTTTAATTTTTTGAAACTTTTGATTGAGCCATTAAATTTATAGATTTTGTAAAATCCGACCGATGTAAAGTTCTGTAATTAAGTATTTTTTATTGGCAGGGTTCAATTCTGTGACAATTATTAGCTATGAAAATCAACTAATTGAATTTATGCTACAGAAAATGGCTTTTTTTTTTTTTTTGTTGAAAATTTGACTTTTGATAAAACATTTTCTGATACATGTAGTTAAAGTAATATTAGAGCTAAATGTTATAAAGTCATTAAGCCTAACTGATATTAATATTAACCCCTTGCCAGTGTTTAGTGATACCTGAACTGACTTCGGGCAGGAGAAAAATTAGCGTTTCTATTTTGTAAAGCCCGAGCTGAGTTCGTTTCTACTTTAGGATACTTAATTCACTATTTTCCTAATAGATGGCAATAGTGGTCCTAGTTTTTCACCGATTACGACTTCAGTCGCGAGGTAAAATGTGGGTCAAGGGAGGAAAAAAATTTGTAAAAAATTTATGTAATTAAAATCATATTGTTATGGTTTTATATTATATTATACTAGTTATATTATATTTAGCTTGAAAATTTTGTTTAATATGTTGTAATTAAATAAGATGTGTGTGTAATCCATTTTTTTTTTATGCGTATGTAAAAATTATAAATACTGAAATCGTTGCATTTAAAATTTTTGTAATAAAAAACCATTTTCTAACTTTTATAATAATATAAAGAACAAAATTAAACAGTCCAAAAAAAATTTTAATTTTGGTCCATTTTTCTGAAATGTATGCCACTGTTAACAGTTTGGGTTAATGAATAATTTATTGAAATGGTAAATTATAAATAATGTTCTGAATTGCAGTTTTTGATCCGAAAAATACCAGAAGACCAGCAGTCAATCGAGCTCCGAGTGGCCGTACTGGGCAGTTCTGATGTGGGTAAAAGTACTCTGCTTGGTGTTCTTACTCAAGGAGAAATGGATAATGGTCATGGGAGTGCCAGGCTCAACTTATTTCGACATTTACACGAAATACAAAGTGGACGAACTAGTAGTATTAGTCATGAAATTCTTGGCTTTGATTCTCAGGGTATTGCTATGACTTACAGCACTTGTAGGACAGCAGAGGAAATATGTGATAGCTCTAAAAAACTGATTACGTTTATTGATTTAGCTGGACACAGAAAATATCTGAAAACGACAGTGTTTGGTTTGACGGGTAAGATTTGTATTCACTGCAATTCCATTGTAACAGTTACAAAATAAAGATGGCATTAATTTGTCGAAAATGCCAGTTCACTACAATTCTATCGTAAATCTACGTCATTTAAGGATATATTTTTTTTTCAGATATTTCTGTGTGATTTTTCATTTCAGATATTTGTAATAGGATGTTGTGGTTAGCAAATTTATTATTTAAGTTATCATTGATTCTCGATGATTCCATTTCAAATCCACACTAAATTCCAATCGCTTTATTGGCAGTTATCACAGTTACTAATAGTGTTTTTTCAGCTATTCTAACATCGTTTTTAAATTCCTAATATTTTTATGATAAAGTTGAGATTTTTTTTAAGTGCGATGCAAATTTTTGTGAAATATAATGCTCCTCTTTGTGATTGATTTTCTCTCTTTTTAGAGGAATATAATGCCCTTTTTTAAATCTAGAAGAAAACCTGCCTTACTTTCAAATACATAGTTCATTTTATAATATTAATCTGTCCATTAATAATAATATTTGTTTTTACTCTGATTCATTATTTATTTTAAATGATAATATATTTTTTTATTTTATAAAATTCAATATTAAAAATCATCTGCGCAATACAGGCAGAAAATCTTGAACCTACAGGGAATTTAATAATGTCTTTTCTTTGGATTCCCTGCAAAAAAAATTAAGAAAAAATTTCTTGCAGCAGATTAACACCTAGGAAGAAAAATTAATTTTTACTGTATTTTTGTGACATGTATGAAATCTAATATTTCAGATTATTTTTATTAAATAGGATTGTGTTTTCAAAATAATGAAAATAACCCAATCAAAAAGCTTGGTTTTATTTTATGTACTCAAAACTGTTGCATATCTGAAAAGGATAATATTAATAATTTATTGCTATTATAATCTAAATCCTTATAGTAAAATGAAGTATTTTTTCTTTTTTAAAGACAAAATAAATAATTTTATGTTATCAAGCCTATTACAAAAATGTAGGAGTCATCTCTTACAAATGATAATTTTTAGTTGTGAAATTCATTCAGCAAACTTGGTTACTTTTAATGTAGCATGCCTGCCAAGTCTCCTGTTTTTTAACGAAGACTTCTCTATTTAATGACTATCTCATGTTTACCTGTATATTCTCAAATTTCTCCGTATTCGTGGAAGAAATTTGGTGATAAAATATCCACTGATGGCTAAAATACTTTGCTTATTCCTCAACAGATTGTGCTATTGCTAGTACTGTAGTATGTTTAGTGTTAATAGTTTAAGTCTAGCTGTGATGACTCAGGGGATAGAGTGTTTGCCTTCCAATGAGATGAACCGAGTTCAGATCCCAGCTTTGACTGGTCAATACTAATTCTGCAATAATGCAAGTGCGAGTTAGTTCCATCAAAAATCCTCAGTGAAGGCGAATTTCTCTCAATGCTTGATCCAGGAGTTCCCTTGTCTTCTGGAGTGGGTTCAAAATTCCAATGCTACAGAGTTGAACGTTAGCAATCCTAAACCCAAAATTAGGTTGGCTGTTCAACTGCGGTTATTAAATAAAATAGTTTAAGTAATTATAAATAATGGTTTTAAAAAATCTTTCTTTAAATTGAGATTTCTATACATATTTTTTTACTTCGCTAAATGTGAGGGCTTATATTATTTCCAATTTTGAATTTCTCTTTTTGACTTATATAATATGCATGATGTATCAAAACTTTACTTGTAGCCTAAAAAATGTCGCTAGTAAGATCTCCGTCAATTTATTTTTCCAATGTTGGCAGATATGATATAAATAAATCGTACATGAAATATGATAAATGAATATAGTATTGATTTCACTTAAATGTTTTGTCATATTAAAGTTGTTGTGATATTTTTAGGTCATTCTCCCCATTTTGCTGTGTTAGTAGTGAGTGCAGTGGGTGAGATGGGCATTGCTAGTGAACATCTTGGTCTGGCTACTGTTGTTGGTATTCCCATTGTTGTAGTAATTAACAAGATAGATTTAGCCAATGGTATTTGCCTGAGACGCACACTCTCACAACTCGAATCATTATTGCAAATGCCAGGCTATAAGAAGGTAACTCTATATCATAATTTTTATAAACTGTATGCCGAAAAAGTGTGGTTATACACAATTGCACATTGGATCAAAATTCAAAAAATATATTTGTGAAATACACATTATACAAGTGAAGGCGCATATTATACTATTTTTGATTTAAAAACTGCCAAAAATTATAAATTTTCAAAAAATACTTAATTCTGGTTCAGTGGATTTAAGAAAAATCTGATATTTGGCATTTTTCATTCATTCTGTTAATTTATTTTTAAGCTCTATTTAATAATAAATTATTTATTTTGTGTGGCTTTGGTGTAATTAGTATTTTAAGTTCAATTATATTAATTCTAAACATTTTAGTGCCAAATTAATCTTTGACTGCACTTTTCTTGAAAGTTATATTTAAAATGATATTTTTAAAAAAAATCATATTTAAAGACGTTTTTATTTTTAAATGAAAATTTCACTCTTACTTTCAAACTTTTTTCAATTCCTCCTATTGGTTCGAATTCTCCCGATATATATTTATATATCTTGCCCAAATTTTCAAACGTTAATAAAATACTTTTTATGCATCTACTCAAGTTCAAATACGTTTTTTTAAAAACTTGTTGTGGACGACATTTGATGTTAATACAAATATTAATTCATTCATTAAATAGAGATGAGCTAAAAACGAAATGGAATTTTTTGATGGGTTAAGCGTCAGTCATTGTTTTAAATTTTACTTTAAGCCATTCAGTTTTTTACATATTTTAAAAATAAGACCGGTGATAATTTCCAACTTAAAGCTTTATTTGAATGGGGGGGGTGGAAAAGTTTTCAACTTTTTTTTAATTTTTATTCTACTTTCATTATTTTAGAAGTTTTTTACCTATTAATTACTTTTCATGCATACTCAAGCCATTATTTAATATTTTATATCATTGTTACATTGTATCCATTGTTTACAGTTTCTGGTTCTACTCTATTTAAATTTATACTTTAAGTGATTAACTCATTCGTTTTGTCGTCATTAACATGGTGCATAGCGTTTTTAAAAAGTGCTTGAAGGGGCTCATTTTCGGTTTTTGTTTTTAAAAGCCCTTAAAGGTGGTTTTTTTCAGTTTCTTTTTTTTTTTTTTTTCAGAAAATGTGCTTAATTTTCCCTTTTTAGAAATGAGATATTTTTTTCTTTTTCTTTACCATGTCAATTTTTGCCACGCATTTTCCAAAAGCGTGATTTTTACATTGTTCTATTAACATTTTCACAATTCATTCGACCACAATCCACTTCGTCTTACCGTCGGTTCGTAGTGTATGAAAGCGCCATGCCATTCATTTTACATGTTTGATGAAATATTTGCGAGTGCGCATGTAAATCTACAGAGATGGGTTTGGTGAGATTTTTACTCTGCTGTAATTTGCAAGATATTCTCCATTTCAGGCTTTATCTTCCACCCTTTGAAATCGAACTGAAAAATCTCTTGATCTTTTTATGGTAGCTAATATAACCAAGAAAAAGATTCTTTGTCTGAAACTACTTATTTTATCATGATCATATAAAGTCTTTGAATATTATTTTGCATTTTATTAATGTATATAATGCTTAAAAGTATTTTTTGAGAGCTTAAAAGGTGCTTATTTCTTGTTGAAAGATTTGGCTATGCTCCTTGATTAGTAATCAACCATTCATATTAAAGATGTTGATTTATATAACAATGTAACACATGTGTCTTTAGGTATCTTTTCAAGTGAGAAATGAAGATGATGCCCTGACTGCTGCCAGTTCTTTTGCCTCAAATAAAATTACGCCCATCTTTTTAGTTTCTTGCGTCACTGGTGAAGGTTTAGATCTGTTATATAACTTCTTAAATGTTCTGCCTCCTACAATCAACCAAAAAGAGCGGGAACATCTCATACAAAAGCCAGTTGAATTTCAGGTAACTCTTGCTTTGAATATCACTAGTTATATTTTGTGTCATGTTTTTTTTTTTTTTTTTTTTAAATTCCATGAGAATATATTTGTTAAATATATATATTGTAGTGTGTCTACCAGTACAAAGATGTAATTCTAATTAACTAGTATATAAGACTTGATTCTATGATGGAGTACCTTTTTGATAGATGAAAATTACATTGTCGACATCAACTCTCCCCATATATATATATATGTTTATTTAGCTGTTTAAACAGATAATTAAAAAGAAAATTTTTGCCTATTTTTCCTGAAACTATATTTGTTTATATTTATTGACAACATATTTTTATTTTATTATGTAATATGGCTTATAATTTCGATTTTCATTCATTTATGAAAATTTTAATTACAATTTATAATTTTCAATGCTCAATAATTAACCAAAATAATATGTTTATTTTTTTTGTATATTAATGTGTTGTGCGAACTTAGTCCGGAAAAATAAATCCGTGGGTAATGGAATTTTGAAGTAAAAAATGTGTCAAAGCTCTATGACTGATGTGATTCTAATTAATAGACTTAATTACATTGAGTATCTGCATCATTTAAGATTCTTTATCATTCAAATGTTAAATATTGCTTCTATCTATGTATAATGTCCGTTGTTTGTTGAATAAAGCAAAAATGTATTTTGGAATTTTGTTATTATTTTCCTGGAAAACATTGAAAAATTGGGGGGGGGGGTTCTGTTGCTTGTTGAATAAAGCAAAAATGTGTTTTGGTTTTTATTTTTCTGGAAAACATAACAAGAATCGGGGAATTTTATTTCTGTATTTTAATGGAAATGTTTACAGAATTTATAATTTCTTGCATTATATTTTAGGTTGATGAAACTTTCCACGTCCCAGAAGTGGGAACTGTTGTCTCAGGTCTCCTCACCAGTGGTGTGGTTCGAGAAGGGGATAACTTACTTGTGGGTCCCTCAGACAGTGGAAAGTTTTACCCTGCAAGAGTGCAGTCCTTACATAGGCACAAAGTGCCAAGCAGAGTGGTTCGAGCTCTCGAAACAGCTACCTTAGCTCTATTCATCCAAACAAAGATGATCCTACGTAAAGGGATGGTTCTCATTAATGAGAAGGTCAAACCACCTGTTTGCTATTTCTTTCAGGCCAAGATACAAGTGCTCTTCCACACCACCAATATATGCACCGGTTTCCAGGCATCCGTTCACATCGGTAACATCCGCCAAACTGCAACCATTTTAGGCATTATGGGAAGATCTAGTCTTTCAGTCAATGATACAGCATCGGTTATGTTTAAATTTATACAACGTCCAGAATGTGTCCACCCTGGATCGAAAATTCTCCTCAGAGTTGGCCAAACCAAAGCCATTGGCCGAGTCACCCAAGTCTTTCTCTTAGAAGATAACTCACCTCTCAAAATATCTCCCATTCATCATTAACTTACGGGTTTTTAAATTTGTTCAGTAACACATTTTCAGTTAGACCTGTTTGTTATTAAATTATAGTGTGAAAATAGCTGCATTATAATATTTTTCAGTGTTTAAATTCTAAGACAGTTAATTTACATTGTTTTTGATCTATACAGAAAATATTTACCCCCCTAGTCAACTTAGATATTAAATAGAATATGTCGGTCTGTAGGTGGCCTATATTATATTATGGTTTAAACTTTTTTTCACTGAAAGTTTAATATCAAAAATAAATTGAATTGGTTAATAATGTGTTGGTTTTAACAGAAAATTGTGCTTTTTGATTGGCCAAGCACACGGAAATTTGACCATTTTTAAGTTATTTAATACTTTTACTTTATTTTATTTGTTTAAAAAAAATAAATGGCGGATATATACATTTTTTGGCAACTTTTTGCTTGTGCCCAACTAACCTAGAAATTAATGTTATGTTGATGCCAAAAAATTGCAAGGTGAAGTATCAGCTATTTAGTTTATTTTAATATGTAATTTTACAATGTTCCTCGTGAATACATTTGAAAAGTGTTGAATGTATAAATGAAAGGTTGATTTTAACTGAAAATGTTTGGAGGGGGAAATAAATAAGGACTTCAATGTCGTAAAATAGGTATTAACTGGTAAGTTTATTTCAGTATGTAATTAACATAATGAATTACATATTGAATGGATTGATAAGTTGGTTTTAATAAATGCCACATAACTAAATATCTTATGTTACTGTAAAATACGTACTAACCATTTAGTTTATTATAATATGTATAACTGAAAGTAATTTAATGCACTATATACATTAAATTACTTTTAGTATTATAAGACTAGTACAAAAATAACAACATTTTACTTTGTTTCTTATGAAAAGTTAATTTTAATTATTTTTTGATTTGTTTAAAATGATAATATTTTTATCCTCAATTTTATCTGTTCATTTTAGTTTCTATACTCATATATTTCTGAGGATATTGTAAATTTAATACTTTGAAATAAGTTTTTTGCCACATTTCAAAAAAATTCTGTTTCTATGTTATTGTTTCTTGATGTTTTACAAATGTCTTAGTTATGCATACTGCATAATATAGAAAGATATTTATTCTTATTTCTACATATATGTATCAGAATATCTAGAGCATAAAAATATGGAAATTGAGCATGAAAATAGCTTTTTTTTTTATCCTCAATTACATTTTTTTTAATGAAACATAATTTATTGTATGTGTTTCATTATTAGAATGATTAATAAAAATTAGAGGAACTATTATGAAACAATAATTAAGTACATTTTTCTTTTTGGTTTAGTTTGTAAATTTGTTTTAGCTACAATAAAGTAATAAGCCTTTTTTTTAAAAAAAAAATTATTTAGTATTTTTTTACCCGTGCATTCTCCAAAATATTGGTAAACTCACTAAATGTCGATAAATATATTAAAAAATTTTATCACATTTTCGAAACTCAATTTCTATATTTTTTTAATGCCTGATCATTGTTTTTAAGCATTTTAGTTATTGTTTATTAAGCAATAATAATTAATAGTATGTAAACTTAATTTTCAGTAGAATAATGCAATTATTGATAAAATTTGAGTATGTGGTTTTGAAACAATTTCATTTTTAACTCTTATATGATCCATGAACTATATGGGAGATTTAGCTTTTTATTTTTAAGTAAAAATGAAACCTGTGATTATCAAGAGTTTACTCTTTTTAAAAACTGATAACAATATGCGCAAAGTTGTTTTCATTTCAAGATTTTTATTTTATGAATGCTTGTTATTATATTTAAATTTTATTTATTTTCATCTTGGAGTTTCATGACTTAGTTTATCCTCATCCATTTTGAATTGAGAACATTGCTATGATGCATTTGATTCAATTCATTTTAAAGCATTAATTTTATTGTATGGAGCAATATTTGGAATGTAGCATTTTTCACAGTGTTTTGAGACAAGTTACTTTTTAAAAAAATTTAATATTAATAATGTTCTTAAAATAATTTTCAGAATATAAAATATTCATAATATATCCACATGTATTAAAAAAAATAACAAAATGCATTTTTGATGTAAAAAAATGATTGGTAAAAAAAATTTTAATTGTTAAATTGAATTTCTCTGCGACCATTAATTTAGCCTTTCATGGAGACGTATTAAAGCAGCCTCACATTCAACCAATAACTAATAAAGAACTTTCTTATGGATTTTTCATTTTTTGAGTTTGAAAGACTTCATTCATTTAACGCACTAATTTTCATTAACTGAAATATCTTTAAAGCAAATATTGTGAAAGAATTAATTTCAGAATTGGGATTTTCATTCGGTGAAAAAAAAACTTATTTTTTGCAAAGAAAGTTGTTTTTTTTTTTTGTTTTTTTTTTTGTTAATTTAAATTTACTGGATGGCAAAATGTGTCAATTTTCATGTTTTTTAACTGAAAAATATGAAACAAATTTTTTCTGTTATCATTTTTCAAAACCAATAGATATTATTTTTATTATTAGAAATTTATCAGTTGATATGAAAACAGAATTCATTGCAACCTCAGAATTTTATTTTCGACAGCCCTCTTTTGAAATAGGTTGTGCATCCCCCCTCTTATTTTTTTCATTTATAAAAATATTGGGTTCCTTAATACAGCCCACCATTTAAAATTTAAAGTAATTGTTTGTTGTTAACACACACTTTCTCCTCTGCATCTTTTTTCCCTTACTAAACATCTCTAATGTGCCTTATTTAAGTTTCACGTAGGATAGACCCATTAATACAATATTTACCAGTTACTGTGGTTACTAAACTTTTTCAATTTGTAGTGCCCTTTTAGGAATACGGTTTGTTCAAGGCGATGTATATTTTGAATGATAATGAATATTTCTTATACGTCTATTAATGAACAAATAACAATTCATTCATCAATATCCTGTTTATACAGTTAAACATACCTGTTTATATAGTGGACCTTCGAGGGACTGAAATTTTGGTTCACTGTAACCGAGAGTTCTCTATATCTGTGCAGCAAACAGTTGTAATTTATCTTTCCAAACTCCTGCCTTTTATGACACATTATTTAAATAAATGAATAATAAAATGAAATACAAAAATAACTGAAAAATAAAACATTAGCAACAAAAATGTGTTAACTTTTATCTTTTATTACTCCTCGTCTTGCGTACCAAAAAAAAAATTTAATATTTAGCTGAGAAGTCCTCCACATCACATAGGGAAACATTTCCCAACTCTCTGATAATTTTTCCTGTATTTATATTATTCCGCTTTTTAAACCTTACCTGAGCATTCGAGCGCATAAAATTAGTCTCAGCAAATTCATCTACTTTGCTTTGAAGTGTTTGTCCAGATACTGGAAGATGGCGGTTGAATGTTGAACCAATGCAATAATGCTATTCAATAATGAAGCAAACAAGAAAAAATGCTTATTGCTACATTCCATGCTATAGATGGTTTTACATTATTTCATTTTTGCTAATTATTGGCTTGATCACTTTTAGCAGTATATGTAATACACTAAACTTGGATTTTCTCATAGTCTTGAAATATCTTTCATTCTCAGACACATTTCAGACCAATATGCTTCATAACAATGTTAGATTTGGTAAATAATCAAATTAAAAAAATTTCATTGATAAAACCTAGCTTTCCCTTATACTGCATCTTAGAACTATATTTGAACCTTTACTAAAAGAAGAATTAAAATTAAATCTGTCTGCTACATTTTTTTCCCTTCTAAAATCAGTTAACTACAAACGTTTACTATAATTTTTAATGTGTGTGAAGGTGCAAAAATGCTATCAAAGTTGTTAAATATCTGTATAGAGTGAATGGGTAGTTTCAATGTTAATAACTTATTTAATGTAAATAAAATTGATTATTCAATCTATTAAAACCCTCTATAAAAATCTAGTTTTTATGTTATTTCATATGCGTCACATTTAGCTGAAAATGCTTTTACATTGAAAACTTTTAACACTTCAACTTTTACTGCCTTAATGTTTCTTTTTACTCAGCTCTACTAAATCGATTAAGGCACCTGCTGATTTATGAGACGTTGTAAAAAAATGTCATTGGATTTCAGTTATTGAATTATTTTTTTTGTGAAATTTTATTGTGTATTGTATAAGTGTATTTAATTCATTTGATTTTATTTGTATGTATGAAAGATTAATTATTTTTAAAATTTCCATGACATCTGAGAAATAAATCTGAATTATTTCACCCTTGATGTATCCTATTTATTCTTTTAAGTGTATCCTTGTATACCTGCACGTTTGTAACTTACACAGCGGTTTTCTCATAAATCACTGCTGATTTAAAAAATCAAGGAAAGGCTAGAATGAGGTGTGGTGTGGTGTGCTGCTTTCTGCCCAGGAACCCACGTAATTAATTCTCCTTAAGTTGAAAAATTAGTCACTAAGCTCCTCCATGGTGCATAGCGATTTTAAAAAGCACTCATTTTCGATTTTTGTTTTTTTAAAGTCCTTAATGGTGCTTTTTTTTCAATGGGTGTTTTTAAAAAGTGCTTTATTTTCCATTTTCGAAAAGGAGATTTTTTTTTCTTTACCATGTCTATTTTCACCACATAGTATTATGTAAGAGTGTGTTTTTCACATTGCTCTATTCAACGTTTTTATCACATTCAACCACAATTCATTTCGACGTACTGTCGGTCTGGAGCGTATGAAAAGCGCTAATCGTTTTGCATGTTTGATGAAATACTTGCGATACGCATATGCGTCTACTGAGCTGGGTTCGGTGAGATTCTTGCACTCTCATGTGCTACTAAGCTGCATTTTGCAAAATATTCTCCATTTCAGGCTTCATTTTCACCCTCTGATATTGAATCAAAAAATCTCTTTATCATTTTAGAATAGCTAATATAATCAACAAAAAAAAGAGTTCTTCGTCTGAAACTATTTATTTTATCATGATCATGTAAGTCTTTGAAAATTATTTTGCATTTTGTTAATGTATATCATCATTAATGGCTGGACAGCCCAGAGTGGGCCTTAGCCTTCTCAAGAAGTTTTTTCCAGGATAACCTTTTTTCTGCTAGTGTTTTCCAGTTTTTAAGACCAAAAGGTCTGTAATGTATGTAGTGCTTTTAAAAATAAGGTTTGAGTGCTTAAAAGGTGCTTATTTTTTGTTGAAAGATTTGGCTACGCATCCTGTCTTCAACTGATGATGCTGTTGAGTGAGATAAACTTAATTTTTAAAAGAAAAAGTGTTTCTGATTGGGTATCTTTTAGATGATAAAAAATTTTGAATGTTTGCTGTGATTGACAATTTCTCTTTCACATTCAACAGAGTGTGCAGCTAGATTTTCAACAAAAAATTAGCACCTTTAAATACTTTTTAAGCACTCAAAATATATTTTTAATCACTTTCCAAAAAGAAGAAGAAAAAAAAATTATTAGCATCTGTGCAATAATAAAAATTATTTTTTTCTATCGTTTAAAGTTCTTAATTTATAAACATAAAACCAATGAAATTCAAAAACATTTTCAAGGACTTAATAATCATAGATAAAATAAATAGTTTCTAAGAAAATTATGAAAATCGTGCAGTTTTTGCAATTTAGAACGGCAAAGAAAAAAATCTCCTTTTAAAAGGTAGAAAATCAAGCACATTTTACCAACCCCGAATTTAAAAAAAAGCACCTTTTTTAATACTAATTGCCCCTTGTTCCTTGGGCGGAATTTTTTTTGAGCTTTCTGTGACAAACCTCTCTAGTACTAATATCTTTCTGCAAGATACTTTTAATAATAACTAATATACATATTAATAACTAAATTTAAAGTAACAGAAGAAAGTTTGCAAAGAAAAAAACCCTATTTGGGTATAGTAAAATAGTATGTATTTTTTTATTTTATTTTATTGAATATGTAATATTTTTTTATTCTAATATCATGGGCGATATTCTCAAATTTTGTGACAGGAAAACACATAAATTATTTCGCATTTCGTAAATCATCTCATAAAAAAAAATATAATTATAAGTGTCATGAAATCCTTGAAAGGAAAGAAAACCAAATTATTGTTTTTTCCAAATAAGAATAAAAAAATTATGAGCTGGAAAAGACATCTTTTGAATATAATTGTGGAGGCAAAAAATATTTTTGCAGAAAAGAAATTTTTTGTTCAATATTCTTTATTTTTCATTCTCAAATAGGAATCGAAAAATTAGGAACATTTCTTTCCCCTCCCATGCGCGAAAAAGATTAAATATGATTTTAGAGAGAAAAAAAATTTCGAAAATTTTTGCAGAAAAGAAAACCAGAATTTATTTTTTAAAGGAAATGCCCGTGGCCGCGTTTCTGCCACGGGCAGGGGCCTCCATCCCCCTGAAGGTGGGCGCACGATTCGCCCACTTAAAGCTTGGAGGGGGGGGGGGATTTAGACGAGAGAATTATTTCTTTTTAAAGTACATAAATAAAAGAAGCAACGTAGCACTATTTCGAACAAGCTAACATGGAAGGGGGAAGTTAGCCAATTTTTTTTTTTGGGGAGGGGCTATTGGCCACGGGTATTATGTTTATATATATTTCTTAATGATATTATTTTTTAATGACAGCAGTTTTATCTACTTTTTGAACAGACCTCACAGAGAGTTTAAAAATGCATTCAAAATCCCATGCATGTAACCTTGACTGTCTTAAATTTGTGTATTTTTATTAGGAAAGAAAAATTGATGCATTCCAAATTCAGGTTGCGTAGAGTTTTGAAAAAGTGCTTTAGGGTGCTTACTTTTGATTTACGTTTTTTAAAAACCCTTAAAGGTACTTTTTTATTGTGTGTTTGTAAAAAGAGCTTAATTTTCTATCTTTTAAAAAGAGATTTTTTCTTTGCTGTGTCGATTGTCGTTCTACTTTACAAAAAAAAATATTTTCTTTACAATATTTATCAGAAACTAGTTATTTTATCATGATTATGTAAAGTGTTTGAAAATTTTTTGAATTTTATGTTTATAAATTAAGAACTATAAATAGGGTACGTAGCGTTTTTGAAAAGTGCTTATTTTCTACTTTCGTTTTCTGAAAGCCCTTAAAAGTGCTTTTTTTCATTTGGTGTTTTTAAAAAGTGCTTAATTTTCCCTTTTCGAAAATGATTTTTTCTTTTCGTTACCATGTCGATTTTCGCTGCGTTTTATGCAAAAGCGTGTGGTTTTCACATTGTTCTATTCAACGTTTTCACAATTCATTCAACCACAATCCATTTCGGCGTACCGTCGATCCGGGTAGCGTATGAAAGCTCCCATCGTTTTACATGTTGGATGAAATACTTTCGGGTCCACATGTACGTATACTGGGCTGGGTTCGGTGAGATTATTGCACTCTCGTGTGCAACTCTGCTGCATTTTGCAAGATTTTTCTCAACTTCAAGTTTAATTTTCCACCCTCTGATATCGAATCGAAAAATCCCTCAATCATTTTATGGTGGCTAATATAATCAAGACAAAGAATTCTTTGTTAGAAACTAGTTCTTTTATCATGATCATGGAAAGTCTTTGAAAACTATTTTGCTTATATATAGTGCTAAAAAATATTCCTTCAGTGCTTAAAAGGTGCTTATTTTTTGTTAAAAGATTTGGCTACGCACCCTGATAGAAATAAAAAATTTATAACTGCACAGATCCTAATTATGATTTTTTTTTTTTTTTTTGTTAAGTGATTAAAAATATTTTTTGAGTGCTTAAAAAGTACTTAAAAGGTGCTTATTTTTGTTAAAAAAGTTTGGTTACTCACTCTGAAATTGTTTCATGTCAATATGTTAATTTTATTACCAGTTAAAGTTAGTTTATTATCATATAAATCTAAATCGTTATTGTGTTTTTACATTTAAAAAGTTTTCTACAAAACAAAAGAGGAATTTAAGATACAGCAGCAAACAAGTAGCTTAAAAAATATTGCTGCAATTTTTTTTTTTCAATGAAAAGGATATATATTTTTTTTTTTATAATCTTTTGTTTGTTGTGTATACCTTAAAGGTACGTTTGTCTTATGGGTATATTGGCAAGCACATTTAAAATCAAGGTTTTAAAATATATCTTAATCAGGGAGGAGGGTAACTACAAGCCAGGTAAAATTCAGAGATCAAGGTGAAAAAATTTTGAACCTTCGTTACAAAACCCAAAAACTTGGAGAAAATAAATTAATTTAAGATGACTTATAAGTAGGCAGCGGATAATATGCAATTGCATATTTTAGCACTTTTTGCCATTTGTGCATATAAATGCATAAAAAGGTATATTTGCTCTTATAAATGCATATTTTCAGCATTTTATGGCTTATCCCTCCTAAAACCAAATCACTATTCTTTTTATGTTAGCATAAGGAACGCTTTAAATTTTGTTTTGTCGTTCTTTATCACCTGAAAGGGTCAGCTGGATTGATGTTGCTGGGGGTGATTGCAATCACGTGAAAAAGATGTAGAAATGAGGTGTGTGTCGGGAAGGGGGTACAAAGGGCCCACCCAAACAGACATTGGTCATAGAAACCTCAGAAAAGGGATGTCTTTTCCTGGAATAAATAATTGTCAATCTGTGTGGGGGAAAAAAGGCTTCTGTGGTAGGTAGAAAATGATCTCCCTTTCCTGTGATTGATTAGTTAAAAGGTGGAGTGAATACATTTTCGGAGAGAGCTGCTATTCTAACATATTTCGATAGTCCATCAGTTGAATACGTAGTTAGTGAAGCTTCGAACGTGATTTTTGACTGCTGAATTTTATAATATGCCAAAAATTAAGTCGACTAAATCAAATTTAATGAAGACATGGATTTCGGATTATGGGAAGGACTTTACAACCGATGGGGAAATAGTATTTTGTGTGATTTGTCAAAAACATTTACTGTGGGGAAAAAAGTACCAAATCGATCAACATATAAAGAATAATGCTCACTCCGCGAAGAAAAAGCAGAATACGAAAGGATTTGTTCAAAGTTTATTAACTGTTCCTGTTCAAGCAGCTTAAAAGGAAAGTTATTTTTCTAGTGATTTATGCAAAGCCTTAGTAAGCAGCAATATTCCTTTAAAAAAAGTTAAATAATCCAAACTTAAGACAGTTTTTAAAAAAATATTGTACCAATCA